GAGATGTCTCTGCCTTGGTCCTTTCACTATTGGCTGCCACTTCCCGGCGGATGTCAGGTGGTGTGATACTGGGTAGACAGTGTAATTTCTCCAGTGGTGTAGGGCGCAGACACCCCGTGATAATGTGGCATGTCTCATTAAGAGTCACATCCACTGTTTTAGTGTGGTGAGATGTGTTCCACACTGGGCATGCGTATTCAGCAGCAGAGTAGCACAGCACAAGGGCGGATGTCTTCACTGTATCTGGTTGTGATCCCCAGGTTGTGCCAGTCAGCTTTCATATGATATTGTTTCTAGCACCCACTTCTAGCAGCTGAAGATGTGATCTATTGTTTCATCTGCAGAGTCTACATTTGGGATTCTGGCTTTCATGGCATTGGTTCTAATGACTTGTTCTTGGGCTGCCAGAATCACATTATTATTATTATTATTATTATTATTATTATTATTATTATTATTATTATTTCAGAATAATTTCAAGATGTGGATACAGAGGGCTGACTGTATTATTTATTTATTTATTTATCATATTTATATATTGCCTTTCTCAACCCGAAGGCAACTCAAGGCATTTACAATCAGCATAATTCAATGCCCCCAACAAAATAAAATATAGTTAAAACATTAACATATAGTATAAACCATATAAAAACAATAAAACACAAGTCCTCAGCGCCTCATTACTGGGTCGAATAACAATTATGAATTTCTTTGTGCCTCACAAAGTCTTCTTGTAGTTTTCCAACCATATCTTATTCCAAGCAATGCGGGATATTTAAAATCCAACACAGGGAGAACAAAGTGACATGCAATAAATAAAGCTGAAGAAATTGATTGAAATCCAGAGAAAGTGTATGGTGAATCAGTAAATTCGTCTTAAGGAGGTCTCTAGATTCCTCCCTCACTATTTCCAGACAAATGGAAGTATCTATAAACTGTAAAATCCAGCAGAGTGTATCATTCCTGAACATGTTCCCTTGTGTTTGAAACTCCCTGCCTATGATGATATGCAGGAGGCAACAAGAAATTATCCACAACCGCTCTCACATTGGAAGATGAGAAGAGACCTGCTGGTGATGAGACTTCCAGGAAAAGTCGCACAATAGGATTATTATAATTGTGACAGAGAGCACTCCGCAGATACAGTATATTTATTGTACATGCTGCAAATGTGTCTGGACTGAAGAACAAAAGGAAAAGAGACAGAATAAGAGAATGTCCTTTGTTGGAGAGAGTAGAGGACTCTGCCTGAGATAGGAAGTGGCACAGAGGGACATTATTGTCTGCGTTCGCAGAGAGGACTTTCAAAGAAGAAAGATTTGGGCATTTCAAAATCTAGTTATTAAAAGAGACTGTAGATGAATTCTGTCAAGGGTATCTACCCTTACGCTTGAAAGTCATGTGCAGACCAGAGTAGAAAAACAGAGCTAAAAGTCCTACAACTGGCCTTTACTCCATGGAGCAGATTTACAACACCATTCCAAATGGCGAAAAAATCCAAATGCACTTGTTGTTATTATTATTAGGTGGATTACGAATCAAAACTGACAAGGTGTTGTTCTTTGTGGCTGGTTTTTTTTTTGGGGGGGGGTTGGTAGAGGTTCGTCCTCAAATGACAAAAATACATTGCTCTGTGATACGACAAAACCATTCTCGCTTACATACCTTGCATTTCTTATGCTTCGTGGCTGTTCATAAGATGTGCTTTTCAGGCTTGTGCAGACATGTGCTTTTCACCTTAAGAACAGAAAAGCATCTCAAACTCTAAGGATTACCTGGGAAAAAATCCCACTGGAGCATTGCAGCACAACAAAATACCTTGGAGTCATCCTGGACTGGGCTCTGACTTACAAGAAGCACTGCTTGAATATCAAGCAAAAAGTGAGTGCTAGAAATAATATCATACAAAAGCTGACTGGCACAACATGGGGATCACAACCAGACACAGTGAAGACATCTGCCTCTGCACTTGGCTACTCTGCTACTGAAAATGCATGCCCAGTGTGGAATCAGGGGCGGCTCAACCATTACACAAAGTAAGCATTTTCAGTATAGTTGATTTTGCCCAGGGGCGCTCTTGAGGTACTCTTGGGGGAAAATAGACCTTGGCATATGTGAGTTGTAGTTACTGGGATGTATAGTTGACCTACAATCAAAGAGCAATCTGAACTCCACCAATGATGGAACTGAACCAAATACGGCACACAGAACTCCCACAACGAACAGAAAATATATATCAGTGATTGTTTGGGGGGGGGGGGGCAAAATACTGTTTGCTTACCGTTGAAAATTACCTAGGGCCGCCTTTGTGTGGAATACATCTCACCATGTTAAAACAGTGGATGTGGCTCTCAATGAGACACGTTGCATCATCACAGGATGTCTATGACCAACACCTCTGGAGAAATTATACTGCTTCCCGATATTGCACCACCTGATATCCATTGGGAAGTAGCAGCCAGCAATGAAAGGACCAAGGCATCAACATCTCCGGCCCATCCTCTGTTCAGATATCAGCCAGCAAGCCAACGGCTTAAATCAAGAAACAGCTTCCTAAGAGATACTTCCAGAACACATCAGCAAGCAAGAGTCCAAAAGCGGCAGGCTAAAACCCGGAACCTCAATCCATGGCTAATACTGGATGAGAGACTCCCTTCTTGTCACACAGAAGACTGGGCGACTTGGAAGGTGCTGAACAGACTGTGCTCTGGCACCACGAGATGCAGAGTTAACCTTAAGAAATGGGACCACAAAATAGAGTCCACAACATGTGAGTGTGGAGAAGAGCAAACCACAGACCACCTACTACAATGCAGTCTGAGCCCTGCCATATGCACAATGGAGGACCTTTTCACAGCAACACCAGAAGCACTCCAAGTGGCCAGCTTCTCGTCAAAGGATATTTAATATAATGCCAAGTTTTTTAAACTTTGTGGTTGTTTTATATATTATAAGTGTATTATCAATTAACTTCTGACACAAGAGCCCCTGGTGGCACAGTGGGTTAAACCCCTGAGCCGGCAGGACTGAAGACCGACAGGTCACAGGTTCGGATCTGGAGAGAGCGCGGATGAGCTCCCTCTATCAGTTCCAGCTCCTCATGCGGGGACATGGGAGAAGCCTCTCACAAGGATGGTAAAAACATCAAAACATCCAGGCATGCCCTGGGCAACATCCTTGCAGACGGCCAATTCTCTCACACCAGAAGCAACTTGCAGATTCGCAATTTTCTCCTGACAAGACAAAAAAAAATATTCTGACACAGTAAATAAATAAATAAAATGATAACATAGAATTATAGAATCATAGAATCAAAAAGTTGGAAGAGACCTCATGGGCCATCCAGTCCAACCCCCTGCCAAGAAGCAGGAATATTGCATTCAAATCACCCCTGACAGATGGCCACCCAGCCCCTGTTTAAAAGCTTCCAAAGAAGAAGCCACCACCACGCTCCAGGGCAGAGAGTTCCACTGCTGAACAGCTCTCACAGTCAGGAAGTTCTTCCTCATGTTCAGATGGAATCTCCTTTCTTGTAGTTTGAAGCCATTGTTTCGTGTCCTAGTCTCCAGGGAAGCAGAAAACAAGCTTGCTCCCTCCTCCCTGTGGTTTCCTCTCACATATTTATACATGGCTATCATATCTCCTCTCAGCCTTCTCTTCTTCAGGCTAAACATGCCCAGCTCCTTAAGCCGCTCCTCATAGGGCTTGTTCTCCAGACCCTTGACCATTTTGGTTGCCCTCCTCTGGACACATTCCAGCTTCTCAATATCCCTCTTGAGTTGTGTCTCTTTATATTGATTCATGGGGAGGAGTTGCCTCAGTTGGGTCAACATTGGAATTTCATGACAGTCTCGCTTTCATGTGTTCTTAGTTTCATGTACCAAGTTTTTGCCAAGCTCCTGATTTGTGTATTGGATGTTTCATGCTACCTTGTTTCACAGATTCTTGTGTCTATTTCATGGATTTTTATACCTATTTATTAGGCCTGGGTAACAACGGAAAAATTTGTTTCTAAAATCGATTCGTTTTTTTGGGGTTTTTTGCG